AAACTTTTTGTATTTTCGTTCTTAAGATTCTAAATTTAATTGTAAGAGCATAACAATTTTTCTTGAAACTTTGTTGAGCAAATCAAACATACGTTCGATATGTTTCAGAATTTTTGTATCAGGTAAATACACTAATTGACAGAGATTAGAATTTTGAAATTTTTTATCGTTTTTGTCACATATTGAACCATGCTCTAATTTATTATTGCACATACTTTCAATGTGCAAAAGCACTTGTAATTCTGTGCAACCAATGCGACATAAATTTTGCAAAAAAGAGGTCAGTATTTCGTCGGTGAAGTATGGTATTTTCTTCATGCATAAGTTTTAATGTTTTCTACACTCAAAAGAAATGTTTTGCTGATCCAGCGAGAAATATCATAATTTGTCGCTGTTTTTTGTATCTGCTAAAAAATTGTTTGTGGTACGTAGGATTTACAGCAGCATTCTAACAATACCTGCAAGCAAATTTAGATGAGTGTGAGGACTATACATTCGTTTGTCCTGCTTTTCTGTCTGCACAATCAATTTTTATAAGTGTGACTGGTTTTTATCTGGTTGAGCGTCACAGAAAGACTTTCTTACTAAATTTCACAAATGATTCAAATAGAAATTCTCTCTTTCTCTGTCATTTATATCGATTAAATATAAAACATTTGTGAAATCGCAGCTTGTTCATTTATCGATCTTAGCTAATTTCTTGTATCTAATTTTTGCTACGTGATTGCAAGACCATTTTGTTGAGTGTTAGCTGTCGTTAAAATGGAAGGAGAACTGCGTACGCGGAGAAATACTGTGTATTTTGTTATTTGTAAACAACGCAACCTTCGTCCATGCTTTTACTCTTTCCTTCTTTTCTTTGTTGTTTCAGCAAATATGACGAGGCAAGTTTTGTATTTCACGTTTATGTTTGGGAAATACTCACACGCACACAAGACGAACGATTGTCGCGGGTAGATAGAGTGAATTTTATTTAATCAAGTGATTCCGCTTGCTGTGTTTTCCTGGAAATTTTTTTTCGTCGTTCCCTCTTTATACTCAAATATCTCGGAATGTTCCGAACAAAATAGCGCGTTAACTCTCGTCTCTCTCTTTCCACGAAAATCCCGCGTTGTGTAACATTTAATTTGACGCGTAATCTCCGATATTCCGAATGACGCCGACGATCTTGACGAGCATTGATGTCACCGATTTACGGGTAAAGTTATGCAATAGCTTAATGACCAAGGATTTTAAAACAGGAGGATTTCGGGCTTCTTAATAACACTGTACTGTAATTAAGACGATAAAACTACGGAATGAGAAGGAATGAGACTTCCTCGCATGAAGAACATTTTTGGAATTCCACCGCATTAAATTATCGTGACGCATTCCATCATTCTGCAGACAAGATACATCGGCTTCTTTCAAAACATTCAATATTATCTGTATGAAAATACGTCGCAGAATGCATTCAAAGATATTCTATATACAAGGAAACCAAGGTTGAGCAAGTTAGTTTTTTTTTAACTAAGTTAAGTTAAAATTAACGGCTTTGAAAATTTAACTTAGTTAAGATAAAGTTAACCCATAATGAAATTAATTGAATTAAAAGTTAAATTAATAAAAAAAAGTAATCAAAAAGTTAAAAGTTAAATTTGTGTCATTTCATGACTTCAGGGTTTCAGTTTTATAAATAACAAAATAAATATACACCTTATTTGGAAACATGTTTTATTTACAGATACTTATTAAATTTCAGTAATAAAGTTTTTTCGAAACTTTTATCGGACATTTTTCCTCGATGATTGTCGAAAATGAGCCCTTCTGCACTGAACAGCCTTTCGACGTCTCGCGACACCTTTATGGCATGGTTAACTTCATGATAATTGAATTAAAAATTAATAGTTACCGATAAAATGTAACTAAGTTAAAAGTTACACGGAAAAAAAAGATTTGCTAATATATGGACAACTAAAATTATTAACTGCAGGAGCAAATTTTCTTGCTTTCATAGCAAAGTTATTTAGTTGTAGTAGCTAAAAGGTTTACTAATATATATATTAGCAAATCTTTAATAATGATTCTATTTGAATCATTTATGAAATTTAACAAGAAAGTTTTTCTGTGACGTTCAACCAGATTAAAACCAGTTACACTTATAAAAATTGATTGTGCAGAAAAGCAGGACAAACGACTGTATAGTCCTCACACTCATCTAAATTTGCTTGCAGGTATTGTTAGAATGTTGCTGCTGTAAATTCTACGTACCACAAACAATTTTTTAGCAGATACAAAAATATATATATTAGCAAATCTTTTAGCTATCATTCAAAGTCCTCTACCATTTTTCAAATGACCACGTAGATGTTTAGTTACTAAATTTAGTTAATTAAAGAAGATTAGTGCATTATTGTGCGCAACTGTACATATACATAGTCATTTGAAAAATGGTAGAGGACTTTTTTGTTCAGTTTGATCTAATATACAAGCATACAACGGTAGACGTTACCATCACAACTATCTACCGTATGGCGCGTGATCATTCACAAATCTTTTTGGATTAATAACTCCAAATTTTACGTGGTTGTTCGCAAAATGATAGAGGAATCTTTTGTTCTGTTTGATCTAATCTATCTGTACACCGTGGCTCCTCCGTGAGTTACCGGACACAAAGAAATATCTCATCCTCAGCAAAATTCTTTTATACATAGTCAAGTTCTCCTAAACTCAAAAGGAAGAAAATATTCATGCAATATTATTTATCTTCATTTTAAAGGAGAAATTTTCCGTAAAAGCTTCCATTTAGAATATAGGAAAACGTGTGGTAAAAACAAGTTTAATTGGATTAATGAAATTTCTGATAAAATATGACCAAACTAGAAATTTCGGTTGATGTAATCAGAATTCAGTCTGAATTATTAAGATTTCGGCTTAAACCTGAGGTTGCAGCGTTATTTTTATCAATGTTAATTACGGCATAAAGCCCTAGACCGATCCCATTTTGTTATTTTTTAGATAAAAAAAATATAACCAAAAACGTTAGATAATATTTCAATTAAGTATCTATTTATCAATCTTTATTATTTTAATAACAATTTTTCTTAAAAAAATATTATACGAGAACTATTCTTAAAATCCTTTCGAGGCCCACATAATAGTCTATACTGAGAGAAATTATCCAATAAAAAATTAACAAACTGATATTTCCGATCAAAATATCGATGACTTTTTGTATACTATCAGGAAATATTCGGTGAGAAATATCAGTTAATAATTTTTTGATCGGTTTGATCTGATGAAATGTCTTTATGATCAGAAATATCATCAAATTTAATCGGATATCCTGATTGGATTAGAACTTGATCAGAAATTTCGAATAATTTCTCTCAGTGTAAGAGTTAAGTTAAGCAGAATTCTGATAATTTCAACCGGGATTTCTCAATCATTCATATTTAAGAGAAAATTAGTTAAGGCTATCAAACTTTTTCTCCGAGTAATAGCATTTTGCAACTAGAGTTATTTTCTTGGAGAGAAGGGGAGAGGAGAAGGTGCTAGAATATTTTCTTGGGATTATATTTTGCTGAGTATTTGATTTATGCACCGTACAAACACACATACACACACACACACACACACACACATACGTTTGCGACGAAGCATTCGAGAAAAACACTCGGAACCCTATCCAGTCATGTATCCGTTTACACGCGCGTATCAGTGACTCAATTAAACACGTATGTCCGAGTTGTCATGTCCGACTCCTCCAACAGAAATGTTGTTATCCATTATGTAGCAGATAAACGACAGACCAACCCGACTTTTTTGCTCAACGTTCTGGCGGTGCAATAATTTTCCACGGTGATATTCCAGGCACAGAGCGTGCGCGCCGTTACGTTTAAAAACGATGTATCGACGACCTTATTTCCTTAAAACGCGCGAGCAAGCAGTGACTGCCGAGCACCATTTCTGTGCTAGCGGTTTTTACGTATCACGCTACCGAGTGAATCGCGTTTTCTGAACGCACTATATTAAATTTGGGGCGCTTGCGAGCTCGACTTATAGCTCGAATAATTAGAAATGCGAATTTGTGCGATAGTTTCCAGGCGACTATCATGAACTGCTTGACCTGCTCGCGAAGGACGCGTGCCTAACGGATGTTGATTCCGTTGTTCTCGACAGGATTGTCCGCCGAATCCTTGTTCAAGGACTCGCCCGTTCCTCCTTTCCTACGTAACCAAGCTGCAAATCGAGAGCGCGGCATATCGAGTCGAAAGTAAAACGTTGCACCACGATCAGCTGGTCGCAACAGCGCGCAATGCCTGCCTCTTACATGGCGAACCAACTGTGTGCGACCTACCGATACGCGGTCCAGTTTTCGTGGACCACTCCGCAACGAGCGCACATGACGAAACAAGGTGGTCCTCCGTTACATTTTGATGTCCTTTGGCGAATTCATATCACGAAATCGCGACGCGTTTTGCAACGCTCGGCGTAATCGTGACGTTGACAGCCGATCACGTGTTCAGGTTTCAGTTAAAAATACCTATAACCCAATTCGCGCGACTCGGCGAAAGTATGTAAGAATGTGTTTCCTCGCGACTCTCGCTGATCATAATTAATAGAAAATTCACAGGAGCAAATAATTAACGACGAACGGACGAGGTATGTCGAAATCGACCAAGACGCTGTGGAAGATTAAAAGGGGACACACCGTTCATGAGGGAGATGCGTTTTTCTCTCTGCCAAACGACTGTCGAGGAAATAAAGCGTCGCGATCAGAATCGCGAAATGCGCGAAAACCCCCGAGAGACTACTCTCGCCACAAGGCCCGCCGACACAGTCCGTCCCACCTGTCAGCTGCGAGCCGAGTTGACAGCTCCGGTGTGTCTATAACTATGACGAGCCTGTGGACTGAGCGAGAAACCGCGTACATGTATTCAGTATACCGAGCCGTACGCCTCGCACCCGGAGCGATTATGCTGTGACGCGACAAGCGGGTCTGGATACGAGCAACTCACTTGATCAGAATCCTCCAGAAGCAGCCAAAGCTGGAGCCGTTTGGCACTTCGCTCGCGTACGATATAGTCATTTCCTGCCTGACCGCGCGCACACTCTCTCCTTCTCGACTACGCTACCCTTCTTCTTCTTCCTCCTCCTGCTCGTCTTCTACGGATCACCTGGACGTACCTCGCACCGTGGTCGTTGGTGTTTCCGGTGGAGATGCTGCACACTCGCGCACATGCGGCGCGCGGGCCGCGGATGTTCCGTTCCGATCGCTGGCGATCGCTCGGCGGCGGCTCGGGAGGGGGCTCGGGACGGGAAGCGCACCGAGTTTTACCTGATAGCTCACGATGGGTTTACCATCAGGAAGTTCTGTTCACGCGCGGATGGACGGAACCAGCTGACCGGGCGAACCGACTGTCTACTGACTGAACTCCACTGACGGACGGCGGGACCAAACGGAGAACGGGGCCCGGCCTGCCACCTCCACCTGGGAGGCAGGAGTGTGAGCGTCACCTGCGGAACCCGTCACGGAGCAAAGCCGCTTACCTGCGAGAATCTCGGAGCCATGGGTGAAACTCGAACGGGGGAGAGAGGGGTTAAGTTCAAATTAGCCGCCGGCGAACGAGCGACGCGATTTACTTTTTCCTACTATGTGTCGCGGAACATGGTCTTACGACGACTTCTTCGTTGAGAGACGACCATTCCGGGACGGCCACGTTGCGCAAACTTGCAATCTGCATCGCGGTGGATGCGAGGAACGTTAAATGTCGAGTACAAGTAACTACCTCTCGCTCAAACCCTCTCAAGATCAATTATGTCGGCCTAGAACGTTTATCTTTCGGATTTCACAATGTTATCCGGATGGATTCACGATACATAAGTCTGACGGTGTGTGACTGTCTACGTACCCCTACGTAGAGACTGTTTAAAGCGTCAATCAGAAAAGCCAAACACCTGAAATCAACTCATATCCAATGAAGAGACGCGCAAGCGTAAGCCACGAGGATCCAGCGATTGAGAAATGAGGATAGAACGAAGCCCGGCTGCACGTCGAATTGAACGTCGATGCTTTTGATTATGTTAATCACGGGTGCGACACGTTGAGGGTCGATTTCATCTCAGCGCTTCTTATCTCCTCGTTATTCACCGTGAGGTCCACCTCTGGTCCCATCGAATCGCGCGCGATGTCAAAGTCATCTCGTATCAAGCCCGGGTCACGTAGCCGCACGGAGCCAACTGGATGAATTTATGTAACTCTGTCGTAAGGCACTTGTGACACATGTTCACGCGGAATTCCTCTTTCAAAATCAATGACACGCCTGGCCTTTCAAGTGGATCGACGATGAATAAAAGGGGAACGTTCAATGCGCACGTTCGCCATCTCGGCGATATTAATAACGTCGTGAATTGCCGTGTCTCGCGCGCTCCTCGTTTCGCGCGCTCGCGCTGAATCATCCGGCATCCTCCTCTGTGCTATCACCGACGGTGCGTGTGTCATTATCATTAGCATAGCTAATTACAGCGTACTTAGGCGGACGATAAATCATTATATGCGCGAGGAGATCACTCTCGTAACTCGCGACTACTCGGTTCCTACTTGGAGGATGCCCGATGCGGAGTGTCGCTCTCTTACGGCACTGGGCCCGTTCAAACACAGATGGATATAGGTATTGCACAGGTACCGGGGCATTTGAAGGCGCCATCTTGCGCACAGTTTTCACACCTTCCTCTTACCTTGCCGTGGCCTAGCCTGCGGCGTAATCGCGACCTTCTGGTACCATCCACCGATCACCTTTCGCTCGTGCTCGCATGGAAGCACAATATGCAAACTCTCGCCACTCCGTCGACATGATTTCCATAACGCAATGGGGAAACCCGAAAAGTCCGATGTTGCTGTGGTTCAACGAGAGTGCTACTGCTCGAATGAGAAAGACTACAAAACTCTCCCAGATTGTACAAAATAAACAAAATGAAACGTATCCTAGATGCCGTAGATTAGGTCATCGATTCTCCCCGACCTGATTTCAGCAGCCGACGATCGTCTACGTGAACGTGCATACGTCATTTGCGAACGGTCATTCCCGCGACAACGATCATATCCTCGACCTGTCGCAGAATTTGGAATGAGTTGGATTCAAAGAATCCATCAATAATCTCCTGCCTGATTTGCATAAATTAGCAATCGGAGCGTTTGCGGTCGCGTGAGGCAGACACGAATTCGGTGAACGGTCTTGTGGTGATGGTCGTAACGGGACGAGACGTCGAGACAAAATACGTATAATTTATAACAATCGCGGTAGGACTTTTCTTACAAAACAGAATGAACACGCTGGTCTAACGTCTCTTTCGCGCCCATGCGCTCAGGGTTTCAGATCTTTCTGCACATCGTACACAATGTTCGCCGAAGCCTGGAACATTTTTTTCTCAAGTTCGGTTATACGCATCCGTATGATCTGCGTGATGCCGTTCTCGCCGATCGCACAGGGTAAGGACAGGAATATCTCGTGGCACACGTCGTGATGACCCTAGAAAAGGTAAAACAGTTTCACTTAGTATCGAATGTTTGTTAGAATGAAGTGTTGTATAAATAAATAAATCAATAATATACGTGTTGTACATATATAAGTACACAATTGATTTTGTTGGAAAGCTTGAACATTGGGAGTTTTAATTATATTATATTTTTCTAATTTATGTCGCAAGATTTTACTTTATTTATATTTTCTCCAATTTTCTCAAAAGTGACTGATGTGCCAAGACTATTTCTATCCCAATTTTTGGCATGTAAAGTGAATGTCCCACACACATACCCACACACAATTAGTCAAATAACCTCTCATCATGAAAATGAAGAAATATTTAAACTTATTATTAAAAAATAAATAATCATTATTCAAATATCATAAATCGGTACAGAATCACGCAAAAATTCTTATTAACCTATCATCGACTTAAACATAGCAATTTATAAACTAATGACTTTGTATTATTTAATGAATTCTGAAGAAGCTAATTACGCTATTAATACTATTTTTTAACTCTATAATAAATAAGATTTACAGACCACATATTATTTTAACAAATAGGGATGTCTGTATCGTTTTATGTCATATTTATTCAAGTTGTTACTAATAAGGACAAATAAATATCTCCTAGAACCGATTTGTGATATGTATGAATTAAGGCTCCTGGATTTTTCCATCGTTCATCTCTTTCTAATGACGTCAGAATCGAGAAAACGCATGCAAATAATTCTTGTGAAATATGTCGAGATAAAAAGATATCCACGAAATGGCACTTGAAATCGATTAAACACACATCTAAAATATTTCGTACACTTTCTTTTTGTTCTAACAATCAATAATTAATTGTAAAATTAATATGACATGAATAATGAGAAAATTAGGTTAAAAAAGAAGGTTGCATGTCATGTTAATTTTATGATTATTTATTGATTGTTAAAGCAAAAGGAAAGTGTTCAGAATATTTTAGAGGTGTGCATAATCGATTGTAAGTGTCATTTTGTGAATATATTTTTTTTATCTCGACGTATTTCGCAAGAATTTTTTGCATGCGTTTCTTCGCTTCTGACATCATTAAAAAGAGATGGACGGTGCCTAGAAGCTTTAATTGCGAAAATCACATATTTAATTACTTTCTCTGCTTATAAAATATTCTTTATCCTTCTTTTAACTCTGACATAACTATTCGTTTGAAGTTAAAGAAGAACTGCACAGATTTAACAAAATAAACATGCTATATTAACTGTCAACTTCTAAAATGTTGGCGAGTGCTGTTCGAAATGTCAGAAGTACACTCATAAAACTTTAATGTTCTAGCATTTGTTATAACTTTTAATTTTATTAGCGCATTTATTATAATTTTTTATTTTATTCCCGCGAAATTTGTTATAACTAATAATATACAAAATTTAGAATAGACAGTAAAATAGACAGTAGTATTTAGAATACACAGTAATTTTTTAAGATAAATATTAACTAATTTATTAAAAAAAACATGCATAAAATAAACTATCACTAATTAAGACACTGTCACTAATTGGGACATTCACCTTAGATTTGTTTTTGCGGAATACTAATCGGTGACATTAATTATTTAATAGCTACAAAAATAATGTTTCCTTCATGTATAATATAGAAAACGTGAATAATATTAAATAAGAATAGCGCAACGTATTGAAGCCTACCTTGATCAAAGTCGAAACTGGTATAATCGTCTGCGTATTATGTAATATCGCCGATACGATATCGCCTACGGAAAGTCCAACGGCCGTATTTGAGTATCCTTTCAAGCATCGGACCATGGCGCCTCTAACAAAATAAAAAAATATTAATATTCGGGTAGGAAACCGAAGTGTGTGTGCGAAACTTTCTTTTGATACGAATGCAATTATCAGACTCACAATCTGACGACTTCCTTCGATATATCGTTCCATTTTTCGTCGTCCGTGTCTAAACCGATGTTTGGGATAATATCGCGAAATTGCACACCCGCAACGTTCACTCCAGACCAGAGCGGAACTAGGAAATGTTAAATGTTAGATCGGACTTTAATACGTAACGTATCGCCTTTCTCTCAGTGTCGAATGTCAAAGAGCGATCGCTGATCGCTCGGCTCACCCTGACTGTCCCCGTGCTCGCCGATAATGTATCCGCGCACCGAACTCGGCGCAATTCCTAGTCGATCGCCGATCAGATAGCGAAACCTCGCGCTGTCTAGATGGGTCCCGCTACCGATTACTTTATGAATCGGGAGTCCGCTTAGTTTCCAGGTGATCCAACTCAAGATATCCACTGCGCATAATTCATGTAATATAATTCATGTAATGTACGTCATGTAATGTAATATTCATATTCATGTAATGTACGTCTCGAATTTTCAACGTGACGTAACATGCATTGAGTTTCAATGCACTACGTAATGTAAACTTTGCAATTTCCAACGATAATAATATCCTGCTTCTATTACATATTGATAATATTAAAATAATTTATTATACAGGGTGTTTGACAATTAATGACACACCCGTTGTGCAGGTAGAACTCATCAAACTGCAAATAAAATAACTACTGTTTCGTAAACAACCACGTAAAATTTCGAATTATTAATTAAAGAAGATTAGTGCGTTATCGGGCACAATCATATACCAATCTTCTTAATAACTAAAAAAACTAAGTGGTTATTTGCAAGATGATAGAAGACATTTTTCTTCATAGCTAATGTACAAGCACGCGACGATACAGCTCATTTACCGTATCGCGCATATTCGTTCGTTAATATTCTTAAATCGATAACTCGAAGTTTTACGTGATTGTTTGCGAAATAAGAGGAATTTTGTGTTCAGTTTGATGAGTTCTACTCAGGAGAAGAATGCGTCATTAATATCGTTAGACACATCCTGTATACAGGATTTCCGGATAAATTCACAGAGGATAAATTCACAGAGGAGCCGCGGTGTACAGATAGATTAGGTGAAACTGATTCCTGTACCATTTTGTGAACAACCACATAAAACTTTAAATTCTTAATCAAAGATGATTTGTGAATAATTACGTGCTATATGGTAGATAAGCTGTGATGGCGATGACTGTCGCTTTACGTATATTAGCTGAAACTGAACAAAAAAAGTCCTATATAATTTTCCATGTAGATATTTAGTTATTAATTAAAAAAGATTGGCGCATTAACGCACACAACTATACACCAAACTTCTTTCATTAATAATTAAACATGTACGTGGTCGTTTGAAAAATGGTAAATGACTTTTTCGTTCAGTTTGACCCAATATGCAAGCATACGGCGGCAGACATCGCTATCACAACTCATCTACCATACAGCGCGTAATAATTCACGAATCTTCTTTGATTAATAACTTAAAACTTTACGTGGTTGTTCGCAAAACATGGTAGAAGAATTCTTTATTCAGTTTGACTTAATCTATTTGTACACTACGGTTCTTCTGTGAGTTACCGGACACAAAGAAATATCTCATCCTCAGCGAAATTCTTTTATACATAATCAAATTCTCCTAAACTCAGAAGGAAGAAAATATTCATGCAATGTTATTTTTCTTCACTTTAAAGGAGAAATTTTCCGTAAAAGTTTTCACTTAGGATATAGGAAAACATGCGGTAAAAACAAGTTTGATATCTGTATACAATAAATTATTATATACATGTAATAAATTATTGAGTTGAGACACCTGGATTACTGACGACGACGAACACCGCGTTTGGGCTATAGCTCACCAGAGGCGGAATTATATTTTTGAATATCTCCATATTTCTTTGAACCAAGTCAAGTCGAGTTTCCCCCTTGATCGGCCGTACACCCGCGGCTATCACTACGACCTTCGAATTACTCGTCACGCAAAAATCTACGAAAGAGTCATTGTTCACCTTCAAACGCCGGCGAAAGAGGAGAATTAGCGCGGTTGTATACCAGCGGATTTATATATTCGTACAAGGTATAAATCACAATTACGACCGTCAGTCGAGTGTGCAAATCTAATTGCATCGCTCATGATAGCGCCTAGTATTTGTGCAATTAACACGAATTCGAGAAATCTTTTACCAGTATCGTACTCGATCTTTGGATCTCCCATGAACACGGAGCCGTGGACGAAGTCCAATCCTTCGCCTTCCAGCTTTTTGGGGAAGGCATCTACCATCGCGATGTGCGAAGTGATTCGCTTGAAACGATGGCGGAAGTCAATGAAATATATCGCTAACAGACTGGTATTTCTATTCTTTTGTAACTCACGCTATAAACTGCATGTGTAATAGAACTAATATCGTTATACTACAGCACAATCTAATAGTGTACATTCCATTAAGTCCACTCGTATAATACACCAACTTTCACTTCAATTCGAAACAAACGGCACAATCCGAACGGGCCCCAAGGGTTATTCGAAAGGTATGAAGGATCGCGGTACCTGAAAGAGAAGCGAATTGGCGACAGCAACACCGACCATACCAGCGCCTACGATAGCGACTTTGTGGCAACAGTCTCTAACTGGCTCCGACAACTTGCACAGGAGCTCTTCCCGCAAACATGGCGAACTGAAATATGAAGAATTCAATACCATTACCATTCAAGAAGAACATATCTAATAAAATATAGCATTGAACAATGACAAGTGGATACAGATGAAATGTTGCAATTCGTTTTTAATGCATACCTTCTATAATAAATAATTTTTAGGAAAATCTTTAATATCTCGTAATTTTTAGAAGTAACTTTTCTTCAGCATTTATATACGTAATGTACGGTCACATCTACTTGCTTCTTTTTATTTTAACCCGTAAATATTTGTAAATTACGTGATAAATTCGTGAATATTTATAAGTTATAATGAATTTGTGAATATTTGTAAATTATGATAAATTCGTGAATGTCATATTCGTGAATCTCATATAATGAGATAATTCGCAGCTAAATTCGAATAAGCTTGAAGTAAATTGAGTTAATCATATCCGCGATATTTTACTCCAAATTACAAGTCGTCATAAATCAACGAGAATGCTCACGTGAAATTGTGCACTCCTTGTAAATCCGATCCCGCGGTTGCATCTTTCCCAAAGCGCTTTCCTTTATCACGTCCGAGCACTCCCGACAAAATCGTCGGCGGCAAAGTGCGTAAATATCGGCTCCTGACGAAATCACACGTCGACGTCAACCGTACGAGATGTCGCAAGCACAACGGTAACGATGAATTTGACAATAGAGATGGTAGAACCATTGTTTCCGTCACTCGTCGAGTTAACAAACGTCCCACGATCGTTTCCCCTCACACTCGTCACATTGCACGGAATCGTTTTTTTTCGAGAGGAGAGAGTATATCGATAAGCGGCCGACATAACATCCTTATGTCATACCGCCATTACATTGGTTTGCCAATTGTTAAACGCATCCATGGTTACTGAGCTTCGGTTCAGTTTATCAGATAACCAATTCGTGTATATAACAGGTGCTCGTAAAAGGTATATAAAGTATCCGGAAACTCACAAAAGAGCCACGGGGTAAATTAGATCAAAATAAACAAAAAATTTGTCTATCATTTTGCGAGCAACCACGTAAAATTTTGAGTTATTAATCAAAGATTCGTAAATAATTACGCGCCATACGGTAGATGATAACATCTCCCGCTATATTCTTGTATATTAGATTAAACAGAACAAAAAAGTCCTCTATCATTTGCCAAATGACCACGTTTAGTTATTAATTAAATAAATTTGATGTACAATTAATACACCAATTTTTAATTAATACGCGTTAATACACACAATTTTTTTAAATTAATAACTAAACATCTACGTAGTCATTTGGAAAATGATATAGGACTTTCTTGTTCAGTTTGACTTAATACACAAGCGGCAGACGTCGCCATTTACCGTATGGCGCGTAATCATCTTCACGAATCTTCTTTGATTAACTTAGAATTGATTAACTTAGAATTTTACATGGTTATTCATAAAATAGTAGAATTTTAGTAGAAGAATTTTTTGCTCAGTTTGACCTAATCTACTTGAACACCGCAGTTTCCCTGTCAGTTATCGGACATTCTATATAAAACTATACGATTCATTAACATGTGATTTTTAAATATTTTATTATATGAAAAGTATTACATATAGATTAAAAATAGAAACGCGAAAATCGTCACGACACTTACTATTTTAGGTGGAATAACATAATTTGTTATAAACATTCATGAACGTACACACAAATAAGCACGCGTAAACATTCGTAATAAGAACATTCATAATGCAATCGTAGAATATGTAATAATGCTTATACGTATATAAATAATAAGAAATAACTATAAAAATTGTGCAAAATTACATAATACTGCGTTTGTTTCATACGTGGAAGTGTATACATGTTGTATGCGTAACTTATAATACATAATTGATTAACTTACTGTTTTACTATGCATGTTTAAGCATCATTACATATCTTACGATATAATACGACAATAGGAACGCGTAAGTAAAATAAAATTATATATTATTAAAATTTGAGACTATTTTGCACTTCATTCATCGTTGCTGAAGATTTCTGCAGTAGTGCAAGTTCCTCGTCTGTTAACTTCTGCTGAACTATATGCGTGACGCCATCTTCACCAAGCGTGCAGGGCAAAGATAAGAACACTTCCACGTTGATTCCATGATGACCCTGAAATTTAGCAAATATTTTTTTTTTTTAATTTATTTTTAATTTATTTTCTATCATGTACAACTTCTTCTTTCGTTCGCTTTACAGAAATATGAAGACAGTACGATTATTATTATTGTCATTTCAGTAAAAAAATATTAATAATATAAATTTAATACATCTTTATTTAGGATATATTAATAAATTTTTAACAGTATATTTAAATAAATTAAAAACTACTATTATTAAAAAATAAAAGGATCAATAAAGAGATATTTATAAAAATAGCCGAAACGCTAAACACCAATCTTTTGTCTAAACATATTATCATATTTTATAGAATATAAAAACAGAAATATTTGCGGGAATTAGTTGTACTGCAGAAAGTAAGTTACTATAAGTTAATATATATTGTATAGGAATCTACGTTGCCGACTTACAGTAACCAATGTGGATACGGCATGTACTTGATTAGAGTTTCTCAATATCGCCGATGCAAGATGCGATATACTGAGGCCGATAGCCCACGAGGTGTAACCTTTAAGTTTAATCACCTCGTACGCGCTTTGCACCACCTGTTTATGTATCTCACTCCAATTTTCCTTGTCTTTGTCGGTGCCTACGTCCTCATACAAATCGCGCAAACGTACCCCGGCAACATTGACTCCAGACCAGACGGGGACTAATAGACAGAAAGAAATATCTCATTAGCACACTTTGTGATATACTGAGAAAAAAATGTTTGGTATCAGACTTGAGGAAGCACTCGACATACCACTGGTGTCGCCGTGCTCTCCGATAATCCAACCGTGGCAAGATGTAGGCGCGACGTTGAGTCTTTGCGATAACAGGAAGCGAAAACGAGCGGAATCTAGATTCGTACCGCTGCCGATAACTCGATTCTTCGGCAAGCCGGACAGTTTCCACGCCACGTACGTCAGGATGTCCACCGGGTTGGAAACGATCAGAAGTATCGTGTTCGGACTATACTTGACCAACTGAGGAATGATGCCTTTGAAGATGTCAGTGTTACGTTGGACCAGATCCAGCCTAGTCTCACCTTCACGTTGACGAGCGCCCGCTGTCACGATACAGATGCTCGAATTCGCGGTCACGGCATAATCCGTGCTAGCGTTGATCTTGGCGTTCTTCAAAAACGCGCTGCCGTGTTGCAAATCCATCATTTCCCCTTTCAGTTTATCAGCCATCACATCAACTAACACAACGTCACTCGAGACATTCTGTAACAGGAATAATTTGTCGAGTGATGTGAATCTGTGTATCTGTAATTTTTACCATAGAAATATGTAATAATAATGTGCATTTTAGTGCATCTTAATGTGCTTTTTTTAATATACAATACGATATGTTTTCTCACATTATTTGCTGTTGTTAAACAAGATGAAACTTATTTAAGATGAAACTTATTTCACCTCTTGTGATCATCGATTATTAGCGTGTTAACTTACGTTTGTCAAGATGCTAAAAGCGCAGGCCATTCCAACTTGACCAACACCCACCACCGTAATTTTGTTTCTACCGACTAACACCGGTTCCGTCACAGTGCATAATAGTTGATCCTTTAATGTTGCCATTTTCTGCAAAATTAAAAGGAATGATCTATTAGTAATATCGAAATGGCATTTAAAAATTCGACATTTTTATAAAATATTATTTTATTGATTTGCCATGTTTTTTATAGAACAAATAGATAAAACGGAATTTTAATTAATATAGATTATAAAAATTAGTACTAATATGTCATTATACATTGAGAAGGTCAAAAAGATCACGCAGTTATTCATGAAGTTTCGTTCGCTTTTCATTATCGAAAGGAACAACGACAAATGAAGTTCTCTGTATGTTGAATCAAATTCAAAGCGAATTCTACTAAAAAATTTCTTTTGAGATCTCAAATGAAATTTCCGAAAAATTTTCCAGAGAATTTGAGATCTCAATTGCTTCGTATGATATTTCAATTAAGATATATGAAAAAAGAGAGTAATGATATCTTAATTAAGATATCATATGAGAAAGAAAGTAATGAAATATTTCAATTAAGATATCGTATAAAAAATAGAAAAAATTTTTTAATTTTTAGATTATACTATATTATAAATATTATAGTAACTTATAAATTATAATTAATATTATTATAAATATCATAGTAACTTGATATTTATAATATAATCTAAAAATTAAATAAGGAAAGCTTTTCTATTTTTTATATGATATCTCAATTGAAATATTGTATGAAATAATTGAGATCTTATATGGAAAATTTTTCGGAAATTTGGATCTCAGTGGAAATTTTTCAATAGGCAGGGCGTCAACACGAGTTCAAGGACCTCGTTAATAATATCGACGGCTCCAGCACGCACCCATGGCTTTTTATAGAAAGATTCGCATCGGCAAATCGTCGCACGCACGAGTACAACGAATGGTGCACGTGGTCGTCAGATGGCGGTGACGGTACGCTACGGAGCGTTGCGTCTCGTGAGAGACAAGCGCGGTTCATCTCCGGTTGAATTGAATGCAGACGCACGAAGCATGCGAGACGGGAAAAATTACGAACGGTGGAGCACGTCGGAATTTAATTACGGATCGACTCGCACGGATCGTCGACTACTCATTAATCATAGATCGCCAATAGCGCTTAACCGGCGAGATATAATCGGCCAACGATGAGCGTGCCGAGCTCGGTATCATTAAACACGCTACACTTTGTATGGGAGGGCAGAAAGTAATAAATTGCGATACCAGCGGTAACGGTACGTGGTGTAACGCAGACGATAATATCACGCGAGTGACGCCCGGCGAGCGACGGCACGTTTTATCGTAGATAATGAGCTGCGCGGCTGATAGCGAGCCCGGTAAAAATAACGTAAAGATGAACTAGCGCGTTACAAATATCAGATGCGAGTATCGGCGATTAACATTCACGGTCCCAGACGATTAGATATTACATGACGAACTTGTCGCAGCCGATTTCACGCGAAGCCGTCTAACCGTCTCTCTCGCGCGCGCGTTTTATATTATTTTATCTCTTTTCTCTCTTAATAACCAAGTAATTTGGATTGTCGTTGATTATTTATTTAGATAGTTTTAGATTCTTTCAGAAAGAATCTAAACAATCTTTAGATTATTTCAGAAAGAGCTTTCACTGACCTGGACGAGATGCTGTACCACTGCTCTTTGAAACTGTCGAACGCAGACTGAGCGCCTCGCGGCCAGTACACCGCTATACTACTGACTGAACTGACAGTTCGTAGGTGCGGACCGGCTAAGGTGACCTTGCCCCCACCTTTTACACTCTTTCCGCAAGCGACAAATATGACAAGATACTTGAGATCTTGGCGGCTACCGGTTTCGATAATAGGAAAGCCGGAAATTACCGATCGAGTCTATGAAATTATTTGCTAAAGCTTCCTAGTAAATAGCAAAAATGCTGCTATCGTAATGGGAATGCGAATTCATTTCCAAGCACGTGCAATACGCTTTGAGATTTCACAGGAAGAAATCTGACGTAAACGCACGCGCAAAATGACGCAACTTCACGCGCGTCTCGAACATCGATCCATCCATGAAAACTTTGCTCTCATGTATTTTCCGAGGACCGTCAATCACGAGACGCTTTGGGAGCATAGGGGAATGTGAGTCATGTATATTTCTGGAGACAATATCCAAATAGTAACTGTCACAGGAATTTTATGGATATCGGCGAAGTTAAATCCGTCTGAACGTCCTCGAACATGGAGAGAGTATCCAAATTAGTACAGTATTCTTAAGAATGTTTTTCATGAACAAAAATACTATTTTCTGCATATTGACGGGCGATGCAACATGAAACATGTCCAAAAACAAAACGTATGATGCTTTCATTCAAGTATGTTTATCGTTACTTTTAATTATTTTATTATTATTTTGTTTTATTTTTACTTTATTTTATTTGTTCAAAACAAAGGACACACCTACTATTAAATTTCCATTAAAAAAAAACTAAATCAACACACATTACAACCATTTAAACCATGTTATTTAATGATATAAAAAAATATCTTGTTGCAATCTATACATGATACAGTCGTGATCTATGAATGTAGTAAGTTGTACAGAAAGATGTAGGATCAAATATTTTGACGTAAGTAATGTGAAACTTTAGATGAAATATATTATCAAGGAATATCATAAAACCGAAGTAAATTACAATCTAAGTAACATTTATTTAAATATTACATATCTAAGTGAATATAATATTTACCAAAAATATATACACATAACGCAACATTCCATCTGGATGAATCAAACGATTGCACGCCACCAGTTGCATGCCTTCTGACGAAACTTTCGTCACATAACTGCAACGCGGCATGGTGATACGTGAGATTGGTCATCGATCCTTCTCATAGAGTTCTTGTGTTCGTGTCAACTGGCACGCAATTCTTTCCTCTTCTACACTGAGGATTGCCTAATAACTATTTAATCAGTTAAAAATTAATTAATCAGTTAAGTTAAATCAGTTAAAAAGTTAATAAATTTTAACGTACTTAATTCTAAATAAATTAATTTTTAACTTTACGAAAAAAAATAGTTTATTCTGCTAATCTGTAGCTTGTTAACCAAATTTATTAAATTTACTAGACAAATTATACAATTATTCAATAGATAATGAAAAAATATTTTTGTCCATTTTACGGAGAAGAGTGCATTAAGCCTGACTGCAAATGACTATAATAAAAATATTTTTTATTACATTACACAATTTAAATTTAAACCTCTTTTCATGTTAATAAACTTTATGTATTTGTGATATAATATACTGATATAAATTGTTATTATATGAATGTATTTTATTACAATTTATAATATTTTATTATACTATTTTAATTAGGCTGCAGACAGTACATTATTTTTAATTGTTCTTATTTATATAACTTTTAACGTAAATTAAATAAATTTAATATTAGACTTAAAAAAATTTAGGGAAAACAATTTGTTATGCGTTTAAATAAACTAAATGATGCTTTTTTAATGCAGTTATATGTTTTAAAAATATTTATTTATTTATAATAAATTTATAATTATTTATTTATAATAAATCTATTATCTAGTAGTAAAAATCGAAATTACCACTCCACGATGAACAGAACACATAACCAGATTTTGCTTTAAAGCAACAATGCTAAATAAATCTGTCTTTGTAAGTTTATGAGAAATCGAGAGCAGCATTGCTAAACAAACAAGGGTTAAGGACCATCAACATTAAACTTAATTTAATTAAAAGAAATTAACTTAGCTGTTACCTTTAATATTAATTAACTTACTTTAATCTTGTTAACATTTTATGTCCTCCTTTCCTCTTATCCGCATGTATACTCGTTCCCCACCTTGGCACGACCACAGTTATTGTATTTACCAGGAAACGTGAGCGAACGCACGTACGCAACGGTCAAACTTTATTACCCGAAATACGATATCGAACCGCGTGACCCAATTTGTTGCCAAATGCAAAATGTAGTAATTCATAAACATCGTTTATAGAACTCTTATTAATTCAGCAAAAGAAAAATAATTTTATGGGAAAAAATTCGGCAAAGTAAAATAAAATGTTAATAAAATAAAACAAAATAAAATAAAATATTTGACGGAAGAGGATCTTCAGCAAAATAAAATAAAATTTTAGGAGAACACTCCACGAGAAATCGAGTCCCAATATTTCGATCGCATGACGATCAGTTTCTGCCGCATGATTTCGATTGATACCCGAAGGTTGGGAAGCCGCCAAGGCTGTTCTCGCATAAAGCAGCTCACTTTATACTTTCCCGCGATGTCATTATGTCGAAAAATAAAACTAACTCATACTTACATACTAACATCGTCAACTGACTGCTCCTTTGCACATCCGCATCCAATTATTGTATATTGCCACGCGAACACCTCAACGTACGTACGTCGAGTGCATGCAAAAACTTGACGAATTGCATATCTCGTTTCTCCACAACGGCCGAAGGTTAAAACGGAGGAGCGCTCGTGACAGCGTCGTCGGACGACACGACGCGGCGCCTATATGAAGATAGCACACATAATTACAAACCCGAGAGAGCCTGAAGAGTGGACGTCGCGAAATTAGCATAACTGTATAAATGCACGTATGGCACAACCGGGCATGTACTCCGCCAGAGTAACGCGGTCCTTTTTGCCTCACTTGCCTGTGCGCGTTATGTTTATCACTTCTGCGAAGCAAATAACTTGCTCGCCGTCGTCGACGCTCCTACGAATAGTCTTGTCTTCGATGAAGAAAAAGAAGGGATCGGACATCAGCATAGCAAAATGCGAATGACATTATCGGCGCGTCGACACACAGTCGTCCAGTTTGAAATAATCAAAAATATACTAACAATATTAAAAATAACACTATTTCTCATCATCTATTTTGTTTTGTAACTATTAAAATATAATGTTAAATATAATCAATTAATAATTAGAATATTAAATACATATATTCTAATTATTAAATATATATAATTAATAATTAGAATATTACACACACTGACTAACGAATATATCATATAACTTGATGAGTTCTTTCAAGTAAATTTTCATTGACGTTCTCTTTTGTATAAATACACTCTATAAATTCAGCAAGCGTTGCTATTCTCCTTAAATTCTAGTATTTCCATTACGAAAATAATTCCTAATGTTTCGCTGAGAGTGTTCCTAAAAGAATGACAATAACAATACGTGTAAATCGCACGTGTAATACGCACTTTATTTTTATAATGTAAATTCTCTCATATAATTTTTTTAAATTATCTCACAAACTCTCTTATCAAATAATCACTAATTAGATGTAACATGATTTCTGAAAATGTGTGAAATTTTTTATCAATTTATGAAATTTCCACGGTTATAAGTACTGAAATATTATATTAAAAAATTACTTAATTGCGTGATTCTGCCATTTCAATAAGCTCATGAAAAAATAATACCTTATGTACAGGGCATTTCAAGTACTTCATAAGTATCACACTTGCATTAACATATTAGTCAGCATAATGAGTTATTTACTCGCCTCGCTAGCAGATGTGCATGTCCAAACACAAACTCAGCTCGAACTTGACAGTATACTCGTTTGCAAAACGATTTACACTCATTTCTGTTATTAAAAGAAATACGAAAAAGTATTGCGAATCGTTTTACCCACCATATTGACCTGTATGTTGATGCAACATTTTGTACAGGGAATTTCAAAGCAACTTTTGAAGCTCTCCTGGAGGCATAGTATAAATTAATTATAATAATTAACAGTCCTATATTATTTTGCAATATTCGTAATAATATTGAGATATTAATTAAAGAAGATTTGTGAATGATTACGCAAGATATAGTAGATGGTTGTAAGGGCGACATCGTGTGCTTGTACATTAGGTCAAACTGTACAAAAAAGTCCTCTATCTACCTTCTAGTAATTTTATAGATTTTTAGTCATTAATTAGATAACATTAATTAGATAATATTAATCAGATAACAATAATTAAATAACATTAATATATTATTGCGAACGAACATCTGCCAATCTTCTTTAATTAATAATTAAAAATCTACAAAGTTATCAGAAAAATGGAAGAGGACTTTTTTATTCAGTTTGACCTAATGTACAAGTACATGATGGCAGACGTCGCTACTATAGCTCATCTATCATTTCACGCGTAATCACTCACAAATCTTCTTCAATTAATATCTCGATAATTGTTACATATATCACAAGGCTATATAAGGCTATATAAGATTTTTATATTCATCTTAATCCGTGCTATGCTTCCAAAGTTGTTCTGAGACATCCTGTATATTGAAACCGGTGATGGTCAGTAAACGGTATTGTTTATTAGCGTGGCATTGACTGTTAGCACGTCTGTATTACCTGTTGTCACCGAAAATTTATCTAATAAGATATTCAGATCTTTTATTTCAAATCAGATTCAAGTTCTCCAATTAAATTATAATACGTGTGACATTCATCTGTAATTGCGATTCAGTTGAAGAATCTCACCTAACTCTGAATTGAAATATGAGCATCTCTCTCACTTGAAGCGAGTTTTAAATAATAACTATACACGGGCAGAATAGAAACAAAGTTTTCTTACAAATGTATGGCATTGTAGATTAATGCTATCCTTAAAGTTTTGTAATTTACAATATTCTGGAATGCCTAGATTGATAATATAAAGGGTAATCTAAATATTTTAAATAAAGAATTAAATAAAGAAAGGGTAATCTAAAAGAAAGGGTAATCTAGAAAGAATTTAAATAAAGAAAGGGTAATCTAAATAT